ACAGTCTCACTAAAAAGGAGAAAGGGTCACGAATTTGCAGTTTATCGGAATCTGCGAATCCTTGGAGTCCTGGCAGGCGGCAGGAAAAACCAATCGGTCAGTAAGTCAGTCAAGGTTCGTACGTCTTGGCTGATAGGATCTGCCCCATCTGCATGTCAATGACCACCACATTGAGGCCGCGACGATTGGCCATTCCCCCGATCGGCACCTGAGGTACCGAGCTTCGTCGAGCGTAAGATGTGCGTGCTATTGAGCGGGGCCTCCCACCTGCTAGTGGGATTGCGATGGGGAAAACGAGGGATCAATCCAAAGATGTGCGGGGGCAAAGAAAGCGCACACATTCTGAGACAATTGGAAGAGAATGCAGATTGATGAACAACGATGAACATGCTCTCATCCCCCTAGCAGTGTGGTTGCAATCTTCTCATCCCCAGCAGGAAGAACCAAGGAATCCGTTCTATTCACCATGTCCGTTCGGTTCCCCATGTCGTGGCTTCTTTGATTCAACACCGAAATCAACTCGGTTGTTTTCACAGACCTTTTGCATCTTCGGGTGGGTCTAACAGGTCCCACTTGACCGAACACGATCTGGTCCTGCCGAAAGGGCACATGAGTCCCTCCTCTTTGGCATTTTCGCTTCATTTTCATGCGATTTCATGAGAACCGCATGCCTGTCGCCAGCGGAACCGCTGTTTCATGCCGGCACGGCACGAGAGAGCGGCAAATAGCGTGGTTCACATGGAGCTATGCTCGTGATGCGACGCGTGATGCTTGCTGAAACATTGGGGTTCTCAGGTGAGCCACCCCAGATTGCCCTCATTCACTGGAGTGAACACCAACTTCCTGCGGAAACACGTCTGCCCATTTGTTTTTGCTGTGATGCCACTGTGAAGCTACTCTCTCCAACAATCGTGGAAGTGGACAATGGCCGGAAAGAGGCCTTTCCTCTACTAAACAGGGTCCACTTAGGAAACTACGAACCCGTCTAACCCGTCTAATACGTCGTTGCTCTCGGCGTCGCCGTGTCGTCCCAAACCAGGGCGCTTTCTGATCCTGGTGGCGGACGGGGGAGAGGGCCCATGGTGGCCATGCTGTGGCCGTCTCCTTGCTTTCATACTAGGAACAAGGACGCTACTAGGGGCTCCTGGCCGTACTAGGAGCAAGTAGCTATATACTAGGCACAAAAAGCTATTAGGTGGATGCCATCGTTCTTTGGTGGAGGCCATTACTACTAGCAACAAGAAGCTAGTAGGTTCTGTTCTGGCAGTTTCGGGCCCCAGAGAATTGATTTCAATAAGTTTAAACTCCGACTCACTGACATGGAAGTTCTTCCAAGGGGCCCACGGCCATCCACTTCCATGGAACGTGAGAGTGAAAGGGTCCAAATCCATGGAAACAATGTGAACATAATGGGAACACTCGAACACTTGTCGTGATTCACAGTTTTTGGGGAAGCTATGCCATCTTGAGGTATATGAGTGGGTCAGGGCTGCAGGCTGAAAAATCCTGACCATCAACTGTTTGGGGACATGCATAGTGATGGATAAACACAAACACAACAAGTCTTGATCTACTCGAGTCAGCACCAGTTACAGTCTTTACACAGCTAACACTACACATGGTATAAGCACCAATCAGCCAATCGTGGCCTTTGAACATCTGCAAAGCCGGGCGTGTTTATCTGGAATTACGGTCCAGTCTGATCCATAGTGCCCCCAACCCTGATGTTTCGTATACAGAAGCCTGGCTCCCTTGCCAAAAACACCAACGAATCTGAAGTTCCAATTCAGGAATCAATCACAAGGACCCCCAAATCCCAAATCCCCTCATTCCATTGCTCACCTTCCCCGCCCGTCATACCCGCATCTCTCCCACCATGTCAGGCTCCTCCACGAAGAAGTCCGCGATATCGCCAGCATCGCCTCCTGCACTGACCACCTTCAGCTGCGTCGTCCCCACACTCGCAGCCGGAGGGGGCGAGGCCTTCGCCGCCTTCGGCGCCACCTTCGGCGCCGTTCGGAGGGCTTCGACGAGAACGGTGTGAGCAACAGCGATGATCGCAAACTATATAATAGACCTTTTTTTTGTTTCTTTTCTCTTTGTTTCCAATAGCAATGGCCTCCAAACTATCAGCGATGGCCTCCAACCTACTAGCCATGGCCTCCAAACCTAATAGCAAAGGGGCTTTAGGGTTTGGTTGGCTTTCTGGTTGGACTCCAAAATTCATGTCAAGTCCATCGAAGGCGATCAAATGGGGACGTATAGGGATTCGTCGAGCGGGATCGGGGGATCTGCGAGAAAAAACCAGTTGATTCGCATCTTTGCTAAGAACAGGGCATCTCATCACTAGGGCGACGCATCAAAGTGAACTATGGTAGCTGCAACAAAAATGCCAACATCATAAGACATCCACCTTTTCCCACCGTTGGCCATCGCTGTGGAACAGGTGGTGGAGCGAACGGTGGTGATTGGCACCACACAGTGTTCATCAGCCTGCCATGAGTAGCCGAGTAGCACCAGCACCATGATATCATCTGTCTTGCTTTACAGGAGCCCCCCTTTCTTTGACGGTGTAAACTGCAAAGCTGTCTCCAAAAGCTACATGCTTTGCAGGATGCGACTCAGGGACAACCCTCAGTGTGACTCAGAGCCAGTGTCACACCTGTGCAGCCAGAAGGCTACTGCCCGAAGACTAAAGCCAAACGTGAAACAAAAAAGACATAACAGCTCTTGGGGTGGCCTCACAAGAATGTAGATCGTCTAGAAACTCAGAACTCACGCACAGCACAACACATCAATAATAGCAACCACCTGGCTGAATCAATTCTTCTCCAGATTTTTGCCAGCATTTTCTATGGCTTAACTTTCAGTCAGCGGCTCTGGGTTGCTACATACAGGACCATTAGAAACAACATGAAACAACAAGCAAAGATCCGGAACCGCTCCGCCATTATTTTTTGAAAAGCTTTATATTCCGATATTCCATGCAAAAACTATACACCGATACACCTACTTCTCATCTTTCAATTCTCAACATTTGACCGATCACCCCTGTTCAACACATCCCAGAGCCTCAGAGGCGTCTCTTGCGACTCAGCCCGCCTTGGCCTCCACGGCCTTTTCCGCGGACGCCACGGGCGCGGCCGGCGCCGCTGTCGGCACCGGCGTCGGTGCTGCCACTGCCGCGGGCTTCGCCCCGTCGTCGGAGCTAGTCTGGGTGTCCCCGTCGGTCGTGATGAGCTTGCGCAAGAGGCGCACCTCCTGTTTTTGTGGCACGAGAAAAAGACGCTAGGTGGGTGCGTTTCAAGCGGTGCGTGGGCACCTGCTGAAACAGCGAGGTGGGTGCGTATGCTGCTGGCAAAGTGGCGCAGGCTCTTTCCTTCTGACGTTTCTGCAAATGTTTGAGATGCATAACTTACCACTCCGCCAGCACAAAGGAGCTGTTAAAACGCCAGTCGATGCATCCACAGAAACAGCAGGAGAAAAGGACCACCTCCGACCCAATTTCCGGCCCAGACTTTCGCCAGTCCTTGGTGAGACTTCCCAAGGTCTCCCGCAGCATCCGCGTCTCCTCCATCAACTCACTCCGTCGCTGTAGCCGCCACACGGTCCGGCCGCGCCCCGCAGGCGCCCCGCTGAACGGTGCGTGGTTGGAGCCGTGTGCCCGTGGTGTGGGCGCCAGAAAGGCACATGGACACCAGGCCAGAAAGCTCAGGGCCTGAAGCCACAGAAGATCGGCTGAGTTTGGGGAAACCAACATGAACGAACCGCGACAAAACAATCTCAAACCGGGTTTGGGTGAAGATCTGTATTTGACAACTGGTACTAATTCATGCTGCGTGGCCCTAAAATGGCAGTGGGGTCTGTCTTGTATATATATATATAATATACACATCATCCAACGAAGAATATGCTGCTAGACCAAAATGCTTTGGTTGGGATTCCTCCCTACTCCAATGCACGCTACTATGATGGCTCTGCTTCGAGACGCAAGAATCAGCAGGACACCCGTTTTCCAAGCTGTTCTCTGCAGGTTTCTCATAGCCCTAAAGGTCACTGTCGATTGATTTCTCAGTCGTCACCAAGCAGGGCCTGACCTGACCACAGCGAGACCGTCTTGAGTTTTTCCTTGCTGCGTCGGAGGTCAATTCACCCGGACGTCGTTGGCTCACAACCCCGGAAGGTCGTTGGGGGCCAGCTCACCAGGACGCCGTGAGGTTTGCACGACCAAAACCATTGGGACTTGGAGTCGATCGAGAAAGTTTTGCACAAGAAAGCAGTCTGACCCCCTGGGCCCATTAAAGTATCTCCTCATTAGATAGACCTCCTGGTGGGTATCAAGTATCTACCATTAAAAGTATCTCCTCATCTGATAGTCTTCCCCAATTTTTTCCAAAGCTGGTGGCACGGCGAGAAAAGCCAAGTCACGCCCAGCGAAATGCCCCAGCTTCGAAGACGTGGAGTCTTCGGCGCCATCCGTCTCCGCCGTCGGACCAGCGGACCAGTGCGGAGACTTCGCTGGACTGTGGCCAAGGTATGCCGAGGTATGCTGGACTGATGTGGGGGATGATCACTTGCAAGTTCATGGACGAGTGGCACCTGTTTGGTTTCCAAAGGCACCTTTTGAAAGGACATCCCCTTTTCCATCTTGGCCGAATTGACATTGATTCACTCAAAGAAAGATCCAAAACAGTGCTTTTTGACAGGTGGAACAGGAAACGTTAAGACTCCATGTTTCAAGGTGCTTAGTCTTGATGTGACTTGGACTAACCTTGGAGGCTTGATAGGGCTACGCTAAGCACTGTCATGAGCTCCACGGCTGCCTTCGGCTTCTCTTCTTTAAAAACAAGAGCAACCGTGGAAGATCCTTGATATTCTTCATCACTGGGATTCGGCCATGGGACTCTCTAAATAAGCCTCTGTTGATGTTTGATTGAACAGCAAGAAAGCTGGATCTCCAAAGTGCAGGTTGAAAGATCGACTTGTGAGCTTTCAGCTTGCCCATCTGTCGGACTCTCGTCTTCATCCTTCAATGTTCCCTACGCATCCCCAAACCAATTCAAGTGCAGTTTCATCTGCACGCGCTGAAGCTTCGATGCAGCGTTCGGCCCTTTTTTTCGCGCCCACGCACGTGCGCTTTCGCGCACCATTCCACCGGAATCTCCTAAGTTCGAGTCGTTGGAGCTGTGGACATGCAGGAAACTTGGCTATGGAAGAACATGGATGGCTGAAACATGCAGTGAAGTGTGTTCTTCTCTATTTCACGGCTGTTTTCTTCTGTGACAAATGGAACCAATTGGGACATGCTGTGGGGGCCTGCATCTCCTACTTGGTCCATAGCTCGACTTCCTTTGGTCAAAGGCACCTTACCACTCTTGGCAGCGGGCCAGGTTTCAAACCAACACGTTGACCTCGTCACCCGCAAAATCCTGCAAGTGGGTGTGTATTTGAATAGGGAGAACCCCCTGGCCCTGGCTGGGTTGTTGATGGTCGTGGTCTCTTTCCTTCCGGGTCAAACGGAGCTCCTCCTTTTTTTGAGCTACACCCCGAAGATGGTTGAGATGCTGCACACCCCCTGCGAAGCGAAATGAACCAGTGTAGCTAGACTTAGAAGGTACCCAGGAGATCGGAGGACTGAAAGAACGTGTTTTGTATGTCCTAGTTTTCAGTCCAAAAGAGCATTCCCAACATGCTGCACAAGCACCACAAAGTGCGGCTGCCCATCACAGTGTGGTGACCCAATTAAACAGTCCGGTGAAGAATGAGTAAGTTCCTGGAGTGTTAAAACGGCAACTTTCCACCTAACTATAGTGGACTACCCCTAAAACACCACATTCATCCCCCAACATCTGCCTTTTCCAAGGATCTTGTTCCATCCAATTTCACGATGCTCTCCACACAGGAGTTTGGCCAGTCAACTTCACCTGCTGGGTGAACACGTTCACGCTGACTTATGGGTGACACGGTATAGTTCATTCCCAACAGTCTTTGGGTAGAAAAGGTTCAAAGACCCTCTACCCCAGGAGGGCTTTACGGATATACTTATACTTCTAGTCTAATGTATTCATAGGCATGACAAATGCTCAGAGTCCGAGCTTTTGCTGGCTCTACGAGTCGAAAGCTCGGGCCCCCCTCCCTCATGTTTTCGTCACATCTATTGAAACTGGAAGTGCAAACAGCCACTAACAGTTCAATACAAACAGAAGTGAATGGAAGTGAAGAAACTCCCCAACAATCCGAGGCCCTTCTACCATACAAGACATGTTGCTTATCAGGGACCCCAAAGAACATATTCTCCATGGTTTCCTGTCCCAAAGAAAGATCTTGTAGACCGCAAAGGATGCGATTTGTCGTATAACATAATGTAATGAATCAAGACGTAGTATGCTTGAAACATTTTGGACAAGGGCATCACTTGACAACCAGCTTTTGCTGCTTATCACCTTCACCTTCCATAGATTTCCGCATATTTGCTGCAGGGTTCTTGGATGCTTTGGGGACCATTTACAACAACATATGTTTTGATTATACTTAATCTTCACCTCTCCAGCTCCGCAATCTTTGGTGACCACAAATCGACCCATCTGCATCTCACCTCGCCCACAGCTCTGCCCTGGCTTGCCTACAGCCGACAGCCGCGAGCAGCGACGCTTCGTTCAACGGCTGTGATCGTCTTGGCGGGAAGGACGAGTCGTCAGCCCCTCCGCGGCGGAATTCACCTCCCAAGTCAGTGTCGATCAACACAGCGTGAAAAAGGCGTGTGCCACCGGTGCCTGCCTGCTCAATGTGTCCCATTGCAAGCACGTTGGTCAGTACAAATTCCAAAGTGGTAAGTACACTACATGGAAATCGACCATTGCTACATAGCGATGTATTGTATCTGACTGTTGTCTTGAGCGTCTTAGTGTACTTTCTTCGCACATTGGGGGAAAACAACAACCAGCACGGGTGTTCATTTTTCCCTCTTGGCAGAATGGAAACGAGAGCAGTGAAGAAAACCAAGTGGATCTGGAACGTTAAACGTCAGACAGTTTGCTCACCCCGCTACAAACTGTTGATGCCCTTGCTCCTAGTTTTGTCCTCTTGCTCCTAGTAGCGATGCACTTGTTTCTAATAGCTTCTTGTTACTACTAGTAAGGCACTTGTTACTAGTAGCGATGCACTTGTTTCTAATAGCTTCTTGTTACTACTAGTA